GGAAACAGATGTTAAGTGTTAACAGAACACTAAAAGGAACAGAGGGCATAGTGAGCACAGGTGGGTAAAGGAACCAGTGTAGAAAGAGGAGAGAAGAGGAAAGCAGTGCAACTAGGGAGATTGAGCCAGGGTAGGAATAGAAGACAGGAGAGAGGGGAGAAGAGGGGAGAAGAGAGAGAGAGAGAGAGAGAGAGAGAGAGAGAGAGAGAGAGAGGACATAAAAGAGGGAGCCAATATTGGTTTGAAGAGAAAACTGAACCTAGAGAAATGTACCTACAAGACTGCTGCCAACTAACAATTTGAGCAACCGCGGAAAGGCTACGCCCTTCCGGGATAGTGAGATCAACAACTAACTTATCCACCATCATGGAGCCCTCATCTAGTAGCTGATGGAAACAGAAGCAAACACCCATAACTAAACACTGAGTCGAACTAGAATCCAGATGTAGAGGAAGAGGACAAGACCAGGTTGCAGAAACACATAGAGACAGCTGACCGGAACAAGGAGGAGCTAACGGGCCCCCAGACTGAGAGCTGGGAATCCAGCATGGGACTGACTCAGAACCCCCTGAACAGCTAGAAGGACTGAGCAGTCTAAGGGGCCTCAGGCAATGGAACCAGGATGTATTCCTGGTGCACAAAAGGACCTTGTGGGCACATCCCCTATGGAGGGATACTGCCTTAACCTAGAGACAGGAGAGAAGTCCTAGTCCCTACTTCAAATAACTTGACAGATGGCATTGCCCTACATGTGGAATTGGGAGGGGAGGGTGGTCAGGGTGCATGTGAGGGGGGGGGGAAGAGAGAGTAAGAGGGAGGGAGGGTGGAGGGAGGGAGAGGGAGAGGGAAAAAAGAGTACACCGGCTAATTGAAAGAGACATTCATTTTGTAAAAGGACTTGAAAATGCCTGAAATTTCAGCATAATGACTTTTTAGGTTGTTGTTCATTTGAAACACATAGCGCATAGGACTGTTAAAGGCTGTACTCTATTTGAGGACAGTTGCAGAGCATGGAGAAGGGAGACACAGCTGATGGTTTCAAACATTTGAAGAAGTACTGAAGTTAAGGAGGGTCCAAATTGAACATCTTGAGATTAAAAAAAAATTAATGCACCTCAAAGTATGAATGTTATGTGGGTACAGCACACACTGGTGCATTTGGATTTAAGGGAAGAATAGTGGGTTGAATTGAACACTTCTCTCATCCTGGAACCTGACTCCATTGTACAACACAGTAACCAAGGATCCAAATGTGGGGCTGAACCAAATGGGACTATATCCTTGCTGCTGATCTAGCACAGATACTCTGGGGATTGAGTATTGCTGCTCCTACAATCTATGCTTTCATCTTGCCATGGCTGTCCTTTGCATAGTTCAGAAGGCAGAAGAGATTTTCCTCTGTAACCCACCAAGAATATTTAATCAACAAAAGAAACAGCAGAGGAAAACTACAGCAATGAAGTAGATATGATTCATCCACATTTGAAGGGCAAATAGAGGAAAGTATCATTACTTTTCCAAACATTTAGTAATCATGCCTTCACTAAATCTCTTTTTATTTTGCCTTGAGGGTTAAGAGTAATCACACCTTAGACCACATCTCTTGTTATTTAGATAAGACATCACTAACTAAAACCAACCATCCTACAGTAGCCATGACTTAGAATTTTAGGTCTCATGATGTTAACCTTGGAAGAAAAAGGATAGTTTTGAACTCTTTAACCTAACCTGAAGGATGTAAAATTAGTGTAGTGAGCTCAAAATATAATACTAAAATTTTGAATCTAGTCCTGGATATAAAGACTACATTGCTAATAATATATATTCACATTTTGGTATGAGAGAATTGTTATGGAAAATGAAGGCCAGACTTGAGTAGAGTGAACAAGGTAAACATTTAAATATGTTGTCTGTGTTACCAGAGAGTTGAAGTTGTATGCTGTACTTCCTCTTAATCCAGAGGACTATGTTTCATAACCCTAGTTCAGGTTCCAAGCTATAGATACTCCAGGAACTAATATATGTGACACAATGTTTACAGTGTATACATACACACCTACTAGGAGAATATAAAATAACAACTGGAATCAAAATACAAAAATGAAAAAGACAGGAAAAAGCTATATAGGCTTCCCTTATATCTTGAATTTTTTTAACTTATTATTTTACATGTCGATCCCAGTTCCCTCTCCCTCCTTCCCTCCCTCTTTTCCTCTCTCCCTCCCTCCTTCACTTTTACCCTCTCTGCCCTCTCACATGCACCCTAACCATCCTCCCCTCCCATACCCCCACCCCAATTCCATATGTAGGGGAATGCCATCCAGTTGGGGTCATGTAGATCTGACAGGTCATTTGAAGTAGAGACTAGGGCTTCTCTCCTGTCTCTAGGTTAAGGCAGTTATCCTCCATGGGGGATGTGTTTGCAAGGTCCTTTTGTGCACCATGGATACATCCTGGCTCAGCCAGAAGGACTGAGCAGTCTAAGGGACCTCAAACAGTGGAGCCAGGATGTATCCATGGTGCACGAATTTTTAATTTAGTAGAATTCTTCACAAATACATGTCACCATTCATGGTATAGATTTGATGTGATCTGGCTATGGTACACTCTATTTTCTCTATGACCATGACTCAAGATTTGTATATAGTAGAGAGATTGCCTCCAGAGTAATACACAGAAAATAGATTCTATCCCTGTCATGCATCATGGGGCCAAGCTTGCTCTTGTCATGTGGTCAGGTTTTCAAATGCAAGTCTTGGAAGGATATTTTTTCTGATCCCGTTAGGTTAAAATATGACACTTAGTGACTATTGATGAGAGTGAAAGAAATGGGAAGCACTGACATAAATTATTATGTGGAATATAGTGAGCATCAGGGTATCAAAAAGACCAGGAGAGATGTCAGGCATTATAGTCAATGGGGTTCAGTCAGCAACAGCGGCACACATAAAACTCATAGGGAACTGAAAATGCCTAAATGTTCAAATCCTTGCATACCAGGTTTGTGAGCCAAGAGAACACACTGAATGTGTTGACATATTTTAATTGGGGATTAATATAAGTCAAGAAGTTGCCATATAAAATGTTAGTTGATGGAATATTCAGACATGACTGAAGATCAAGAGGACTGGGTATGAATTCCTTTGAGCAGAATAAACAATAATATAAGCCACATAACAGAAAGGAAAAATTTTCATACACTACAATGTCAGCTTGGAAATCGGGGATTATGGTGGATTTGAATTAAAAAAGGTAACAGTTATAGGACAATGAGAGACATAGTGGACAGAACTCTTGTATCCTGGAGTCTCATTTCCTTGAACATGGCAAAGTTAGAGAAATATAACTCCTGTGAAGTCAGCTGGAATAACAATATCAGGGATTTCAGAATTTCCTCTTCTCTGACACAAATACTCTGTGAACTGCAGATGACTATAAAAACATTTCTCTAGGTTCGAGAGTTGTGTAGCATTGTCTGGTTGTGGGACTACTAGCAGAGATCAAGATCTATCCTTGGAAATTGAGCTGGCTCTTGGGATCCTATTATCCAAGATGGGTTGCATCACCCACCCTTGATGCACGGGAAGGAGCTTGGTCCTGACTCGGCTTGATGTGCAGTGTTTGATTGATGCCCATGTGTGGCCTGCCCCTTTATGAACAGAGAAATACAAGGACAGGATGAAGGGATAGAGGGAAGGCACTGTAACAGGAGCAGAAATGGAAGGAGGGAACATGAGATCAGGATGTAAAATAAAGGCAAAAAATTAATGAAACAACAACAGCAGAATATTTCCCCCATACACATGTTTGTTGAAGAGAGTAAATTTCTGATCTTCATAATTGAAATTATTCAAGAAAATGTGGCATGCTTTGTTTATTGCCATGGGAATCCTTACCCCATCTGAATGGAGATGGAATAAGAGTGGATGTGGTTATAAGGGCAGAGAGTCAAGAAAAATTGGTAGGAGAGAAGAGAGTGGAAACTTTTGTTGGTTTATAAAATAATTTTTTAAATGAAAAGTATGATCTTGGCAGCTTACTATGTATGCTGTATATTGTGACCTCCCTTCTCTCTTTTGAAATTGAAAGACTATTCAACCTATTGCCTCTGGAGTATTTCTTCAGTATTCTCTGAACAAATATACCTGTTAAAAACAGAGCTTCTACAGAATAGTTAACATAGCAAAGTATTTTGGTCATTTTCTACATCTCATCAAAATTCTTTCAGGTCCAACCCTCCCCACCTACAGACCAAATTTCAAGTTAATTTGTTTGTAAGCATATCACATATATTTTGTGTTCACCAAGTATTATTGAATATAGGACCTATCACTGAATGTGATAAACTTACAAAACTACAACACTCTTTAAGGAAACTTACCCACTCAATCTCCTAACAGTTACAAACGCCAATTGTACTTCACATAGTGATTGGACGTAGTGTCTAGGTCCTCCCTGGCCATACTGCTGGTATATTTTCAAACTTGAAAGTGTCTTTTGTATATTGCCACAAAATAACTGTGAGTTCAAATATATGACTGCAAAGTACTTGAGTCATAAAATATGGAAACTAGCAAACACTGACTTAGAAAACTCATCTGTAATGGTAACATTTCTGAATGCTACAAGGTGTTATGCATTATATTGGACAAATTCAGTAATCATTACTACCTAGCAATGAATGATAACAGCTATAGAAAAAGACTGGCCTGTCAAGCTAGGCTTACATACACAACAGTGATAGAAATATGGGAGAAGTAATCAACCATATTAAGATGGGATATATGCAATCCAGTATTACAATAGTTAATGTGGTTTGAACCTGTGGCTTGCCTGACGAGAAACTATGATGAAGAATGTACTACCATTATTCTGGGAAATAATTTTACTATTAAAATAATACATTACATAATTTATTAGACATAATTTGAATGACATGGGCATCTAAACTGTAAGACATACAACATTACAATTGCACAATTTATATAACTTTGATAAGATCATTTCATTTTCATATTCCTTATCAAGAAAAAGTACAACCTGAAAACAATGAAATCATTACTCATCACAAAGGGGCATAAAGCAGGAAAACACATAGAAATGATGGCTGTTATATTCATTAGCAACAGATTGGAATTATGAGAAAGAGCCATGTAGCCTTGTGAAATGGAGGAGATTGTATTAAAAGCTAAAAAGGTGAAAACCAAGGCCAGGATGTTTTGTGTGGCTCTGGATTCGGGGGAAAATCTGGTGGAGGCATGAGTGCTGAGGATGTATTGAACTCTCTTTTTGTGTCCATAAAGTATGACAATCATGAAGATGCTGGAACATAAAATGAGTATAGAAAATAAGACTTCAGGAAACACCCAAAATGTTGTGTACAGTAAATTTACTATTTTATCTTGACTGAGAGAGGCACAAAATTCAAAATGTCTCTTGTTTGTCTTATTTTGACTATTACTTTTGGTAGATGTATACATGGCAAAAAATATATTTACTATCATGTACAGGATCCAAAGGAAGGAAATGGAGATGTGAACATATTTTGACAATTTGATTTTAAGGCTTTTACAACAGGAGACATTAGGGATGATGCTGATGGCCTGGAAGACACTCAGTAAGCAGGTGGTAGTGATGGACATGCTCCTGCCAAGTCTATGTGCATATAAAAAAAGTTTGCACACAACATCATTAAAGAACCATTTCCACTCAAAAGCTCTCATTATCAGCCACAATCCTCTAGAGAGAATGATTAAGGAATTTGCTATGAACACATGTGTGAGAATTAAGTCAACAGCCTTTAATGTGTGTTCATTGTAGTAAATGAGTAGATAGTGGAAAAGAAAGGATACATTTCCCAGAATTCCAAGTGTAATCTGAAGTGAGATCACTATTCCTATAGCCAAGTTTCTGGAGTCCATTCTGTCAGGCAGCACTTTTTTCTTTAAAATTATACTAACAATTATGTCTCTGAGTCAAATTATACATTGAAAACGTTTATCCTTTTATGCATGTGGAGAACAATCACTTGAGCTCAGTTTGCAAAGTCAGAGTATGTAAATTAACAAGACTGTCTCAAAACAAGTGCTTTGCCACAAGTAATACCTCTCAGTGAATTTGTTGAAGTTTATGATTCTCCATATTCATGGAATTAATTTCTGGTACATCTCTGTATTTCTTAAAGTCTTCAGCATTTAAATTAACACTGTATTTCAATGAAGCAGCAATCACCAATTTAATGCAAGTGTAAAGAATGTTCGTGTCCATGTTCCAGAGTGAACTGTTCTTTGTACAATACATTGATGGAAAGGAGACAACAATTTGCAGCTTTAATATGAAAGAGCTCCATGATATTTTCATCCAAATTTTAAACTAAAAAAAAAATGTACATTTTTACCTCAACAAAGTGAACCTTTTTATGTTCTTTTATAAGAAAATGTTTATAAAATCTTATACTGAGGTTCAAATGATAAGCTCGATAAAGTTAAATTAAGAAATACAGCACATCAAATTTCACACACACACACACACACACACACACGCAATTTACTTTGATGTATTGTTGGGAGTCAGAAAAAACGTGTGTTCTGTTTGGCAATCTCATATGAAATTTACAACCACAACAATGAGGAAAACCAGGGGAAAGATGTCCTATTCTAAACAGATCCATTGCCAAATGTCAAAATGCAGAAATATAAATGAAAACTAGCATGAATCACAAGACCTGGTAAGAATAAATTAGGCATGTGACACACTGTCAATAGTGTTCCTATTGTCTCAAATGTTTAACTGGAGTATACATGTGTCTACTTGTTTCCAATTTCACTACTATGGAAATGTCTTCAAAGACAAATTTTAAAATATATGTATAGGAAATAGTTTCTAAGCAAGGGCCTCCCCCGATGCAATTTTTAAGAATATACTCTCAATTAGACATGGTGGCATGTGCATCTCATTCTTTCACCCAGAAAATAAACAGTTAATCCAGGATTGCCAGAATTACATAATGAGACAAATGAATCAAATGAGACAATGAATCAAAATAGACAAACAAAAAGGAATATACTGCCTCTGCTGATATTGACAGTTCTATCCTCTTAGCAGTATAAATGAATAGGAAGTGCATTAAATCATACCAAATGCATAAAAATATCAGTGTTCATATGATATATATTCCTTGAGGCAATCACAATGCACATTAACAGTATTCCAGCCTCTTACAGGTTAGTACAGATATAAACTCATGTCCCCAAAGCCCTGTTTTACCAAGAATCCAACAGGATTGTATAACTGATGTAATGAATTATGAGTATAACCAATACACTTTTTTCCAGCGTTATATACATTCCATAAATCATAGATGTGCAAATATGTTTTCACTCTGTAATCTAGTCTGGCCTGAGACTTCCTGCAACTTCTTTCTTGGTTGATTTATTCTGGCATCTGTTTCTTAATGTATGTGTTGCATACTAAGTAGATTTTTACTTCTGAATTCCAGTGCTCTTGGCATTGTGTGTTTTTAAGTCTTTCTTTCTTTCTTTTTACTAAAAAATCTAATCACCTTTCACAACAAAAGAAAGTGGACTTGTTGCTTTGTTGTAAGGGTTGTTTACATATGATTGATATGAAGTGTGTTCTCTGCAAGATGAAAGTCTTAGAGCTATTGGTCCAGATAATGATCCAAGCCAACTGTGTTGCATTTTATGATACTTTAGTTGTAATTTAAGATAATGAAATCATACCAAGAATATTATCAGAGTACTTCAGAGAACAGTTTATAAAACAGTACACTGTGCAGCATGTTCAGTTCAGTCCACCTGGAGGCCTAAGGTGCTAGACAACTGGCTGAGGATACTGTTTTCATATGGCAGACGAGTTAGGAAAAACAATGCAAATTAACAGAAAATTTTCCAAACTGATCTGCCAAGTACTTGAAAGAAAATTATTAGGAGTGGTACGCACCATACTTAAGAATAAAGTATAAAAACCTGAGTGCTCTTTCATTATACAGAACAAGTAGCAAGGGAAGAAGAGAGATGACACAGGAAACCATTGTCATACAGACAGGTGTGATGAACCCCTATTTTACAATCCCTGAGGGTACCCTTCCAGTTTCCAGTGGCTGTCATTTGTCTTTAATGCCATGAAATTTTTCAGGTGTACACATTGTGATCACATTTATTATATCACCTGAAATCAATTTTTTTCAATGAGCAATACCTACTCAAAATTCAATTACATTGAGTCTTTCTGAAGCTAGATTGAAAACAGCTAATACAGGTGACAATCTATGAATCACTATCACAACCCTGTTCCTCTGCCACCTACTGTGATTTGTATGGAGTTTTGATCTGAAAATATAGTTCCCTCCACTTGCAAGACAAATCCTGAGGGGAAAAAAAAAACACGTACATGATTCTCTAGAAGGAAAAGGTTATTCTGAGAAGTTTTGACCCTTGGAAAATGAGAATATGGCCTGGTTGCTTCCAAGGATAGTCACTGAAAGTTTTAATCAATTGTGGTACATCAGCTCCATTTTAAAACCTTACACTGCTAGTAAATTTTTTGTATTCTAGCCTACATTGATATCGTGTTCAAATGTGATTATTTCTACAGAAACTGCCTGTATCCAAGTTGTGTTTAATGAAAGTAAGAGAAACCCAATGCTTATTTTGCCAACAAACATGTTTATACGTTTGCTGATAGTAAAACTTAAGAATATGTCTGCAAAGAATTGAACACAATTCACCTATGAGTCTACTTCGAGACATAATCATATCTAAAATATGAAAGCTATTATATGAAACAATTTTTGCATAGAATTTAAGTTATTACTATGTTGCACAGAGAACCCAAGTGGTAAAGTGTTTGAAGTCTATGTAGGAGAACCTGTGTTCTTTCTCCATATCTCAGATAAAAACATACTTGCTGTAATACACGTGTAATCTAAACTCCAGACAAACAAAGATGGGAGAATATTTGGGGGTCACTGATTAGCCAGTCTAGGCTGCTAAGAGAGAAACAGGCAGTTAAAATACTCTGTTTCAAAAAGAAACAAAGTTATATTTTCTAAGGAAGTCTAACAAAACACTCAAGTGATAGTTCTCCTGAACTCATCCTGTACCATCATCTACACACACACACACACACACACATACACACACACACACAAATATGTGTTCACACAGATACATGTGACACATGCACACACACACATACACACACACACACACATATATATATATACATTCACTCAGAATAAACATTAAATTCTCAACAATTTCAAAATAAGTCTTACATTGATAATCTCTATTTATCAAACTGGTAGTAATAAATCCAGTTTATGAATCATATTTAACTTTAAATATATGTAGATGGAACACAAGAATAAAAATTATGCATTTTATAACTTTAAACACACGAGAAAATGTGAGCTGGGGGAACCTTCCCTTGCTCAATTCTATGCTTTAAATTCCTAAAGTATGGGTTCCAGCAACTTCAGCTATCAAAATTAGACAATGAAATTCAAAGTTGACATACCATTCTAGTATAAATAACCAGAAGAAATGAGAGAAGACAGATGGCATCTGAGATGGGTGTTTTGCATGATACAATTACAATGTTACCTTGCTTTCAGCATCATGATCCTAGCTTCAAGAAGTAAAGCAACCTTATCTGTCATCAGCACTGAGTGTCAGGACCCACTCAGATCCTGTACCATTATAGATGAGTGCTGCCTAGAAATGTGTTTCACCCACAGGCAGTTCCAGATCGAAATTCCTCACTAGGATGACATGATTTTGATAATATTCATCATACACTTTAAGCTTTTATGCCAGCATCTATGTTTGTCATCTTGAGAATTTGTCATTTAGTTCATATATAATATGAAGAGTTGGGAGTAGTAAAAACATAATCACTGCCATCTTTCATCACCTTTGAAATCATATTCATTATCACTGAAGTGATTCATGAATAGTCTGGCAGGCATTTGGTTACTATTAACACAAATTCAGGGATTAACACAAATTCAGGTAAACCGATTCTGTTTATAGCCCAGAAAGCCTTCCTCTAACCTTGTGGAAATTTACACTGTACTATTTCAGTCTACAATATTTTTTCCAGACATGGGGGCTTACCAGATTTCCCTTCTGTCCTTACTCTGCCTTCCAAACTGAAGTACACAATGATCACTTGACTCATTCCCTGTGAAAAACATCAATTCAGGGTGCAGCTCGAGAGAACAGACAGCACCATGGAAGTGGGAGGCAGCTCAATCCTAAGATAAAGGATCATAGTTCTATGACCTCACCTCCCTAAAGAACTACAAGCTGTAGTTGCAATGATTGCTCTCGTGTTAAGGGAGCCAATGACTTTGCAGAGGCATTTTTTTTTTCTGTTAGTTTATAAACACCAATGAATGCACATTTCTCCAAAGAGAAAAGGTGTTTGGGGAGGCTGCAACTATTTCATGTTCCCTGAAGGCTGTACAGCAGGAACTCTTGAAGAAAAACCAAACTTTCATGTGTTTTGCATTTTTGGATTTGTTTCCTATTGTAATCTATCCGCTGTGGCTCCTACACACTCTCTGCATCTTTTGTACAGGGTTCACTTAGTCCTAAGGGGAGTGACCTGAGGAAGACATCCTGTTTTGAGATGGTGCTCTAAAGTCGCTCACCCTCTGAATTTTTTCTGCTATGTGACTGGATTTACTATCACCTGCTCCAATAGGAAGTTTCACTGAAGATGGCTAGGACAGGCACTGATCTCTGAATACAGCAAAATATTACTAGGAGTCATTTTATTGTTCTATTCCATTAGTAAAACAATATTATTGGTCATCTCCTAGGTCCATGGGTTTAGTTCTAGTCTCAGTTTCTGATATATGAATTCCACCTCATAAAGAAGGCCTTAAGTCAAATCAGATATTGACTAATTACTCCCACAAGCTTTTTGCTGTTATTGCACTAGGATAATTTGAAGGAAACACTATTGTATATGGAAGGTTTTGTAGGAAGCCTTGTGCTTACCTTTCTATATTGATAGCATGTAGAACACCATCCTATACCAAGAACATTAACTACCTGTTCAGCTGGCTGGGGCACTGACCAGCCTGAGCGAGGCGCTTCCCCATCCCCCCTCCCCGCATAGCTCAACTGGCTCCTGCCTGTGCTCTGGCTCACCTCCCCAGGCTCTGTGTCAGCAGCTTGAGATGCAGCTCTCCGCCAATATGCCTAGAACTCAGGATTCCGAAGGCTTCCTGGACACTGGCTCTGGGCTGGGTCCAGGCAGCTCAGCTCGCACTCACTGCAGAGATGAGCTGAGGAGAGGGGAGAGATAATGGGATGCCTGCAGCCATGGGAGGTGGAGGAAGCAATGGCAAGCCCTAGTCAACTCTGCATTTGCCTCCGGACTGTCAAGCACATTGCAGTGTGGCTGAAGGATGAAGGCTTCTTTGAATATGTGAACGTTTAATGCAATGAGCACATGTTCAATGATCACACAGTTGTTCTAACCATGCTAAATGTCTTTATCACACAGTATACACCAAGAAGCTGGAATTTCTTGCAATTCTCTCCTGTGTTCTCAACCTCTTTGGAATTTTCTTCATTCTGGCTGCCCATGAAGATTATTCCGTTGATGTGTTTATTGCCTATTATATCACAACAAAACTCTTTGTACTACCATATTCTGGCCAATACCAGAGAGTATCATCAGAGTGGGAGAGCGATAATTTGGTTTCCTATGTTTTCTTTCTTTGAATGCAATGTTAATGGCACAGTATCTAATGAATATTGTTGGCCATTTTCTAAACCAAGAATAATGAAAAGACAAATTGGACGAAGACTATATCTCTGTAATGATGTTGAGGGCTATTGATGGGAATTGTATGTTGATTCCTATTGTTTGGATGTAGTGATATGAGTGTTGTTTTTCTCCATTTATTGATTTAATTGTCTAGAAATATGTATTCCTTCTGTTTGCTTGAGTAGGAATGGTTAGCCTATTCGGGATATTTTTTTTCTCCTTATGAATTGATAGGGATGCATTTGTGATTAGATATCACAGATTGTCTTTTGTGCTTATTTATGGTGATTGAATATTTTGTTGGCTATAATACTATAAGTTGGAATCTTTGGCCTCTGAGTTTGTAGAAAATTTTTACTTGCCCTTGCTACTTTTGAAATCTTTATTGAGAAGTCAGGAGTTAGTCTAATAGTTCTATCTTTACATGTTACACAGACTCTTAAGAAATCCAAGTAACGAAACAGCCAGCCAATAAAGAGAAAAGCAGAAGGCAGTACCTGAACTTATCCAAAAGCAAAACAAATGTTGATCAACCTGTGTGAAACTTTTGATTGGTTCTTTAATACAGCTCCAGATAATATCTGAGGGCTTAGATCACTTTACATCTTCGATTTTTGAATATAACACAAACTTCTATGTTACGTCTACTTGCTATGTGTCTCTTTTTGCTACTCATTGTATGTGTGTCTTTTTGCACAGTATCTCAACAATCTGACATTTTGAACATCCTGTGATCTATACTGCAATACAACCTCCACTGTGACAGCTATGACTAATGGGTTCTCATGCTATCTTGGGGACACTGTGACACACACTGCCGTGTCCCCAGTGGTTCTCTAAAATTCTATAGGAAGACTCAGTGACCCACTTGTTCTTGCATTTAACATGCCTCCAAAAACAGTACTACTTGTAAAACAAGACCAATTATGACACCCATCTTGGAATTTACCACCATCAACCACATTGCAGCATATCTGTTATTATAAAGGAACTATATTTAATAGCAAACAATATCTCAAACTTTCTTCTTTCACATCCTGGAATCTTAGCTTGGTTTGGTCTTTCCCATATTCCCACACAGGAGACCTTCATATGCTCTGGGTCCTCTTTAACTATTGTCCTTCAAAGTTCATGAGGATTTTAAGACCTCTCCAAACAATGTATCTTTGGAGACACTCATGAGAATTCCATAAGCAGCTTTGGTAATTACCAAACAAATAAAGCTTGTGAAAAGTTGTTTACAAAGGCATTAAGTTAACAAAAAATGGAAATATAATTTTTTCAAATGCCTTTGTCACAATTCTATATCATGTCATAATAATAGTGTCCACTTGTGTTTTTTTGTATGTTGTATTATGGGGACATACAATCATATCTATGCCAACCTATAAGAGGCAGGATAAGTCTTGATCTGTGGTTTCTTTTCCTAAACACAATAATAATTTATGAACTGTTAATTTTTGTTTGTATTTGCTTGTTGTAAAACTTTTCATCTCAACATAAATCCAGCCACACTGAACCCCTTAAAAGATAAAGTAGGAGGTACCCTTGAAGAAATTGGTATAGGAGACTGCTTCCTGAACATAACTCCAGTAGCACAGACACTGAGATTGACAATTAATAAGTGGGACCTCCTCAAACATAGAAGCTTTTGTAAGGCAAGGGACACAGTTGACAAGACCAAATGGCAGCCCACAGACTGGGAAAAGACTGGCTTATCATGATAGTCTCATTTACACAACAGTGATAGAAATATGGCAGAAGTAATCAACCACATTAAGATATGATATATGGAATCTAATACTACAATAGATAATGTGGCTGTGAACATGTGGCTTGCCAGACCAGAAACTATAATTCTATGAAATTACTATTACTTTTATTCTATGAAATAATCTTACCATTAAAATAATACATTACTTAATGCATTAGATTGATATTTTGAATGACATAGGTATCCAAATTCTAAGATACATAAAATTTACATAATTTTGATAGAATTATTTCATTTTTAAATTCCTTATCCAGAAAAAGTACAACCTGTAACCAGTGAAATCATGACTCATCACAAAGGGGCATAAAGTAGGAAACCCCAGAGAAATGATGGCTGTCATATTCATTAGCCACGAAGGAGAATTATGAGAAACAGCCATGTAGCCTTGTACAATGGAGGAGATTGTATAAAAAGCTAGAAAGGTGCAAACCAAGACAAGAATGTTCTGGGTGGCTCTGGATTCAGGGGAAAATCTGGTGGAGACATGAGTGCTGAGGATGTATTGAACTCTCTTTTTGTGTCCGTAGAGTATGACAATCATGGTGACGCTGGAGCATACAATGAGTATAGAAAATAAGACTTCAGGAAACACCCAAAATGCTATGTACATTGAATCTACTATTTTGTCACGACTAAGAGCAGGACAAAATTCAAAATCTCTCATTTTCGTCTTATTTTCACTATTACTTTTGATAGATGTATACATGGGGAAAACCATATTTACTATCATGTACAGGATCCAGAGGAAGGAAATGGACAGGTGAACATATTTTGGTAATTTGATTTTAAGATCTTTAAAATAGGAGACATTGGGACTGATGGTTATGGCCTGAAACATACTCAACAGGCAGATGGAGGTGATGGACATGCTCCTGCCAAGTCTGTGAACATAGAAAATAAGTTTGCATTCAACATCACTGAAGAACCATTTCCACTCAAAAGCTCTCATTATCTGTGGCACTCCTCTAGAGAGAATGATTAAGGAATTTGCTGTGAACACATGTGTAAGAATTAAGTCTACAATCTTTAATTTGTGTTCACTGTAGTAAATGAGTAGATAGTGGAAAAGAAAAGATGCATTTCCCAGAATTCCAAGTGTACTCTGAAGTGAGATCATTATTCCTATAGCCAAGTTTCTGAAGTCCATTCTGTCAGGCAGCAGTGTTTAATTTAAAATTATAGAAACAAGTATGTCTCTGAGACACATTGAAAGTTTCTATCCTTTTGTGCATGTGGAGAACAATCACTTGAGTTCAGTTTGCAAAGTCAGAGTATGTAAATTAAAAAGACTGTCTCAGAGAAGTGTTTTGCCATCAGTAATACCTCTCAGTGAAATTCTTGAAGTTTATAACTGTCCGTATTTATGGAGTGAATTTCTAGTGCATCTCTCCTTTTCTTAAAGACTTCAGCACTTAAAAGATATCATACTTCAATGAAGAAACAATCACCATTTGAATGCAAGTGGAAAAAATATTCACATGCACATTCCAGAATGAACCGTTCTTTATACAATACATTGCTGGAAAAGAGACAAAAATGTGCAGATTCAATGTGAAAGAGCTCTATGCTATTTTCATCCAAAATTTAAACTCAAATGTAAATTTTAACTCAATGAAGTCAATGTTTCTATTATCTTATATGAGAAAATGCTTATAAAATAGCATAAAACAATCTTATAATGAGGTTCAAATGATGAGCTAGATAAGGTTAAAGTCAGAGGCATAGCACATAAAATTTCACACCCACATGCATGCACGCACTCGCACACATGCACGCGCACACACACATACACACACACAATTTTTATGTTTTACTATTAGCAATTATATAATTGTGTGCAATGAATTGAACAGAATTGCCTTTATGATGCTTGTTCAAGATACATCATCATCTCTGAAATAAGAAAGCTATCATATGAAATAATTTTATACATAGAATTTAAATTATTACCATATTACACAGAGAACACAGGTGGTAAATCGTTTGCAGTCTACGTAGAAGATACTGTTCTACTTGAAATCTAAGTTACAAGGAAGCAGATGAGAGACTTGGGGGTCACTGATTACCCAGGCAAAGCTACTAAGAGAGAATCAGACAGTTAAGATACCCATTTCAAAAAGAACAAAGTTATTTTTTTCTAAGGAATTCTAACAGCATACTCAAGTGATAGTTCTCCTGAACTCAAGGTTCACCTGCGCACACACACACAGACACATGCACATATATACACACACAGTAAAGAACATTAAATTCTCACCATTTTCAAACTGATAATCTCTAACTTGTCAAACTGGTGGTAATAAATCCAAATAATAAATTCCATTTAACTTAAAAATATATTTACATAGAACACACGGACATAAAATATGCATTTTGTAACTTTCAATGAACCTTTGAACTGTAGAGACATTGCTGTGGTGAATTCTATGCTTTATCTGTCCAAAAGTTTCAGCTATCAAAATTAGAAACTGGAACTCAAGATTGGCATACCATTCAAGTATCACTAAGCCAGAAGAAATAACAGAAGCTGGATTAAATGGATCTGGAGATGAATGTTGTTCAAGATTCACAATTACAATGTCACCTTCCCTTCAGTACCGCCTCCCCATGTTCAAACAGCAAAGCAGCCTCAGCAGTTACCAGCACTGAGTGTCATGACCCACTTAGCTCCTGCACTATCGTAGATGGAGTGCTGCTAGAAATGTCTTAAACACAGAGGCTGATACAGATCGCATATCTTCACCAGGATAAAATGATTGTGATAATATTCATCATATACTTTAAACTTTTATGACAGCATCTATGTTTGTCATTTTGAGAATTATCAGCTGGCTCATATATAACATGAAGATTTGAAAATGGGAAAAACATAATCATTGCCAGCCTTCATCACCTTTGAAGTTATATTCAATATCCCTGGAATGTTCATCAATAGTCAGGCAAGGATTTTGTTACAATACTTTTATACATCAGAGATTAGTTTAAATTCAGTGAAGCCATTCGCCTCAGTAATTTAAAAGAAATCCTTTTTTTAATTTTATAGAATTCACAATGCTCTCTTTCTACCTAGAATACATTTCTAGACATTAGTGCTTACCAGATTTCTTATCTGTGGTTGCTTTACCTTCCAGACTGAAGTACACAATGAACACTTGACACATTCCCTCTGCAAACTATCAGTTCAGGGCACAGCTCCAGACATAAGAGCTAGCACCACGGAAGTAGGAGGCAGCTGAACCCTAAGATAAAGGATCATAACTCTATGACCTCACTCCCGTATGAATGACAAACTTCTAACCTGTAGTTTCAATGGTTGTCCTGGCTTTGGGAGCCAAGGGATTTGCTGAAACATTTCTTTTCCCATTTGCTAAGTGACACCAATGAATGTTCACTTTCCAAAGGGAAACGTTTGGGGAGGCTGTAACTTTTTCATGATCCCTGCAGGCTGTGTGGGAGGAACTGTTCAAGGAATATCAAGCTATCATGTGTCTTTTCTAATTAGACTTGTTTTCTCTGGGTTTTGTTACACAAAGTGACACTAATTATTAATTTTCAGTTCCCACTCCTGACCCATTTCCAACATGCAGCAGGACAGAATCAGTCAAGAATCTGGGGGTATCTAATGGAGTATCAGTAAGACAAAAACATGATGTCATAATTTGCACTAAAACTCACTGCAATATTGGTAGAACTTGGTGCAAATTAATAACTGGAAATGATGGTAGGGAATATTTTAGGAAAAATCACAAATATCACACAGTATTGAGTGATGGGAGATGTCATTCTGTATAAATGTTTCTCATACTGGTTAATGAATAAAGCACTGTTGACCAATAGGAAAGGAAGATAGGAGGGACTAGGAGACAAGGAGGAAAGAAGAAGGAGGAAGGAGGAGTAAGATGGAAGATGGAGAGAGCAGAATGCAGGCGGGCTCTCCGGTAAGATAAGACCACGTGGAGATTAATAAAAATAGGTTAATACTTAAGACAGAGCTAGTCAATAAGAAACACGTAACTGGCCAACAACATATATCAAATACAGAGTCTCTGTGCGTTATTTGGGGCTGGCGCAGCGGCAGGACAAGACCAGAAGTGGGAGGGAAAAACCTACTCCTTACAATTCAAAGGAACTAATCAGATCCTTATGCTAGAAGAAATCATATGTGTCTACATATGTATATGTATATGTGTACATATGTGTAAATATATATAAAATGTTGCTCACAAATGAAGGCACATATGCCCAAGAAATTGACAAAAAATAAGGTGCTATCATTTGAATCTACAGGTGATGAGTGGAAACCTGATGCATCAATTTTTTAATTCCCTTTAAAAAACATTTTAGAGGAATAGACGAGAGGAAAAAAAAGGAGAGAAAAGAGATATCATAAAAGAGGGAGCCATTATAGGTTTGAAGAGAAAATTGACTCTAGAGAAATGTCCAGAGACCTACAAGACTGACCCCAACTAACCATTTGAGCAACAGTAGAAAGGCTATCATAAATGCCCTTCCCTGATAATGAGATCAACAACTAACTTATCAACCATCATGGAGTCCTCATCTGGTAGCTGACAGAAACAGAAGCAGACACCTACAGCTAAACTCTGAGCCGAACTGAACTCCAGATGCAGAGAGGGAGGACAAGACCAGGCTACAGAAACCCACAGAGACAGCTGACCTGAACAAGGAGGAGCTAATTGGCCCAGACTAATATCTGGGAAACCAGCATTGGACTGATTAAGACCCCCTGAACATGGGTCTCAGTTAGAAAGCCTGAGCAATCTAAGGGTCCTCTGACAGTGGAACAAGGATGTATCCCTGGTGTACAAAAGGACTTTGAAAGCATATTTCCCCATGAAGGGATACTCCCTTAACCTAGAGGCAGGAGGGAGGGCCTAGTCCCTACTCCAAATGACTTGACAGATTTTGTTGATCCCTCCTGGAAGGAATCACCCTCCCTGTGGAGTGGGATGGGAGGGTGGTCGGAGGGCATCGGAGGGAGAGAGGAAGGGCGAGGGAACTGGGATCAATATGTAAAATCAGAAAAAAAATAATAAAAAAAAGAACTGATTTAAAACAAACAAAAAATTTTAGTTCCATTCAATATGTGCTAATTATGGTTTCCGAGTTCTGCAACCTCTTCCACCTCTTTCACATCTCCTGCCGCATCTGGATCCACACCCTTCCTGTTTCTAATTAGAAAAGAAACAGGCTTTATACAATAAAAATGATGATAATAATAATGTAATTATTATATTATTAATTAAAAAACAAAAGCAGTCACCTCGGGATAGGACAGAACAGAAAGATACGAACCCAATGAAGAGATATGGAGCTGAGATCTATTTGTTCCCATAAAAATACAAACTTACAAGCCATAACGTAAACTCTAAAATCCTATCGAATAAAAAGACAAGAAAATATAAAACTAAAGGAAAAATTGAAAGAGCATAAAATTAAAAATGAAAGAAAGAACAGGACCTGAGAAGACATTATAAGAAAAGGATCTGACAGGGACTGGTGGTGCACACCTTTAATCCCACAACTTGAGAGGCAGAAGCAAGCATATCTCTGTGAGTTCAAGGACACACTAGTCAACAAAGCAAAATCTTGTTCCAGCACAGGCTCCAAAGCTACACAGACAAACTATTTCCCACAAAGAAGATATGATTGCAAAGCCATCATAGTATATTCATAACAGCAAGCAGTCATTAAAAAAATATCCTTTCAAATCAAGGTAGTGTTGTAAGATGGTTATAACTTTTGAAATAAACACATGGTTGTTCTTTCCCAGAACAGTCAGAACAGAAACAGTACAGAACCATTTGTAAAAAATGTTACAGATGGTGCATAGCCCAATCCTTGAGAAACAGATGTGTAATCATAATCAGGAATGAAGCCAGTTTTTCTTTATTACTAAATGCTTTTTTGAGCCTAATATGGAGGCAGGCTTATACATCATTCCCTACTTTTCTTATATATGTTTTTCAAATATTTGATAGGGCTGTAAGATTAACTATCTGTAGAATTAAATAAAATTCATAAAGTTGCATGGCCTATTTATAAATTATTCCGGGTAGTTTAGCATCAAAAGAACAAAGGTAATACAGGTAGCTGTTTTATACCCTTTAGCAGAGAGTTTTCTTT